AGGACGAGGAGGAGTCTGATGGGGAGCAGGCGGATGCTGGAAGTGTTCGGGCTCGAGGAGCTTCGGGAGGAGGATGGCGATCCTGGGGGGCTCGATGCTTACTGGCCCGACGAGGGGAGGGAGCATGGGACGCATATCATCCACTTGATCAAACCTTGAGGAGAGGGGCGGGAGGAGGAGGAGGAGGAGGAGGAGGAGGAGGAGGAGGAGGAGGAGAGGGGAGGGATGAGGAGGAGGAGGAGGAGGAGAGAGAGAGAGAGAAAAGGAGGAGGAGAAGAGGAGAGAGAAAAGGAGGAGGAGAGGAGAGAGAAAAGGAGGAGGAAGAGGAGCAGAAGAAAACATATTTATACTACAATGCCTCAATCACTTCGATAGAACTCTCCAACGTTGAATTCCTCACGCTCCCTGCCATCCTCCTCGGCCCTCGCTGCACCCGAGCGCCTCCCTCTTCCTCTCCCTCCCGCGGCTCCCTGCGACACCCTCGTCAGCCCTTCTCCCTCTTCTGCACCCAACATCACTCACTCGTCCCTCCTCCCTCCTCCTGATCCTCCTGCCGTCTGCACGCGCTCCTGCTGCGAGTCGATCACCCCGAAAGTTCCTCCGGTTCTCCTCACCTCCGCATCCTCCGCACCCCCCTGCGTCTGCTCCATCCCTCGAGCAGCCAACATGGCCTGTGTCAACTCAGAACAGGTACTCTGTCTCTGTCTCTGTCTCCCGCTCCTCTCTACACTATCTCTATCCTCGTCCTCGTCCTCGTTCTCGTCCACCATGTCCTCCTCGTCCTCCTCACCTTGCGAATCTCAGCTGCATTGATCCTTCGCTTCCCTCCTGCGCTCTGACCTCGAGCAGAAGTCTCGGGCTGATCGACCTCAGCACTGGGTTGGGCTGCACGGGGAGTCTCACGAGCTGATTGATAGGGAGTAGGAGGAGGAGGAGGAGGAGGAGGAGGAGGAGGAGGAGTAGGAGTAGGAGTAGGAGTAGGAGTAGGAGTAGGAGGAGGAGGAGGCGGAGGAGGTGGTGGTGGTGGTCGCCGGCGGTGTTGGCGGCGGGGGGGGGTGGTGGGGTCGTAGTCGTCGTCGTGGTCGTCGTTGTTGTCTACTA